ACAATTAACACCATATTAAATCTACTTCATTTGCAGAATAATGGACTGTATCATATCTTGACATTGTTTGTTTAAGATCTGCACAGTATCTTACTACAGCTTGTGAGTGGTTAGATGTTGAGTGTTATTTGAGTGTTTCCTGTGGAGCTAATGTTAATTAACTGATGTGAGCTTTATACTCTAACTGAAAAAAATGCAATGTATCATATGGTTACATTTTATTTTGATGGTCCCCTTAATCGATCGACTATAAGAAACTTTGCAACTACATGCCAACTAACTCTCTTTAGAGTACTAGTATGCTCAAGAATGGTAGAATCTAGTATGGTAGAATAAGTTGACGTACTTGCAAAGACACTTATAGTCAGTTTATCTGTTAGTTGACCATCAAAATAAAGTGTTAGCAAATATTTACAGTAGCAGACATACTAATACTCTAATGACCGCTAGTTGATATGTAGTTGCAGAGTCCAAGAATTGTGATTAATGTGACCATTAAACTTCAAAAGGATTTCTTGTAATAAATATGAGCGCTGCACATTTCAAAGTTTTTAAATGAATGTATCTCTGGAGGGAACCGACTGCCTTGAAAAAAGTTAAGATGGCATTTTCATTTAATCTTGCCTGTAATGACTGATAACATTCTGCTGCTCCAAACGCGCCACCTGCTGGCAGAGAATCAATTTACCTTTTCAATAAGCCCATCTGCTGTTTTTGTTCAGACCAATGCGAAAATCCAACCATATTTATACGCAGCAAAACATGCAATTGTAAATTTGAACCGGTGGATTGACAAGAAGCTAACATTAATTCTAAAAATCCCTTTTCTTAAAAATGGTTTAAAGGCTGAACTATGATGTTTATCATTTTATAAGACTTTTTGTTTTGTGAAAGCCTGTATCTGGAAAAAAATAGAATTTTACGGTTTAATATGTTATTATAGACATTGCCCTACCCCACTCATATGGTATTAATTTTATTTGTGCAGCTCTAAAAAAAAAAAAAAAAAAGGGGAAAAAAACGCCTCAAATTTGCCATTAAAAATTTTGCAGATACCCTTTAAATAGGGAAAAAAAATTCCTTCCTTGATATTTGTGTTTTGAAAATGTTTTTGATTGATGTTTTGACTCCTGTCTTACTTTCTACATTAAAATGGTCTTTTTTATTCGGGCTAGCTAGTTTTTCATTTTGGGCTACCAAAATCTGAAAAGTGCCTGCCCAAAGGGCTACCAGGGATTGCAAAATGTTGCTAGTCCTGCACCTCCCAGAACTGTCTGACACACTGACACACCCAGTTTGCTGCCGATCACTAGGAAAATAGTTTTTAGAGCACGCTGTCTGTGCACTAAAACTGCAATTTATATAAGAGCCACATTTCTATTTTGCACATATACTTAGAAGCAATGATTTTGTTTTATTAAATACAATAAAGCTTTGTTTCCACAAATTCCAATTTTTTTTATTAAACTCCCAATTTCAATAGTCACATATCTATACTGTCTTTCACATTTCCCATCCAGTAAGAATCTTAGTAACACTAAGAATAAGAAAAAACCTGACCAATAAAATCTCTGTCTCTGTATTAACACACTGTTGAATGCTTCCTTGGACAATCTATTGAAAATCTTTTCAATAAGATATAAAAAAAAGAGAAAAGGTTTCAAATATATGAGTATTTCATCCATTCTTTCAAACTTAAAAAAGCCATTTCATCTTAAAAGACCAACTCAGGGTATAAATCTCCTGCTTGTTTTTCTATTTCCTGACAAAAAAAAAAAAGCTTCTATGGTTACAAATAGTGAAGTTTGGTTTTGTACTGAAATATTTCCTTTGTTTAATGATTAGGATTGATGATTCATTGGAGCTACAAAGCCTTACAATGATCAGGAAAGCTTTTTAAGGGTAAAGACCAACAATTTCTGCACAACCACCTTGGGTTAGAGTTTACATCAAAATTCTCAATGTTTGTGTGTTTGTTTATTTGTATATGTGTGCATATCAAATAATGAATGTGTGGTGAGAATCCTTTCTCTTTTTTATTGTCTTCTAGTTAAGCACCCACCACTGTTCTGCTGACTAGTCTGGCCAAAATAAAGACGGGAAACACATTTCCATTGACGTCAAAATGCGAATCCTTCCCACAAACTGTGGTTTTGTAGTGGGATTCTCATGGACCACCATTATTAGAGTTTTTTTCGGAAGGGTGATATGTAGAAAATAAATATATAAATAATTGATCCTGCATCCAAAAGCCACAACAAAAGGATTCCATTAGAAATAGAACAAAATGATGAAGGAAAACAATGATGCCAAAGTCATTTTCAATTATTGTTAAGAGCAGGAAGAGTTCACATGGGATGCTGAGGTCCCAAAGGACAAATGGGTGAAACATGCTGTGCTCATCAAATACCAATAAGGGAAGGAACTTCAAATCAATATGGTATGTTAAACTAGATGAGCTGAGCAGTACAAGCCAATCTGTTGTTTTGGCTCAGACCTTGGTCTTGAACAAAGTATTTAAAAAAAAAGTCTCAAGTTTGTTTGTTTTTTTGATCATGGTCTATGCTGAGATTTGTGTGCGGCCTACAGACATCCACAGAAACTGTAATCACACTGTCTCCAATTGACAGACTGGCTGATAAGGAGTATTACCAAAAATATAATCTTTTTATGTCACCTGTAACATTCTGAGCTAGAAGACTAAGAAAAGCTTGACCTCTATACTGCTCTGCAGTCCTGCATCCTCTCCTCCACTGCCTATATCTGACCCTCACACCTGGGCAAATCATCTTTCCATCACTCATCATCTTGGCATATTTCTAGCCACCTGCTGAGTCTGATCAAGACAGCTCATCACAAGGGGGTTTCATTACAACCAAACTATTTCAAGTCAAATACTCCTCTTTGATCACTGGACTTTTTTGCCTTATGTCAGCACTCTAGAGATGGTGAAAGGTACATGCAAGGGGCCGCCAGGAGTGTTTCGTAGGTGAGCAGGTGGAGTTGGATCTACCATACCACACAAATACTGTACACATGCACATAGTAAAACCCCTGAAATCCTACTCCACTTACACCCTGTCAGCCTGCTTCCACCCCAAAAGCCCATGAGGTCTGGAATCAGATTATAAACTCAATAGGGTCCAGTGTTATTTTGGATCCCAATTCAAAGTATTGACATTTTTAAAAAAAAATCTATATAAAGTCATACAGGTTTAGGACTGACATGAGGGTGTGCAAATGTTGACAGTATTATTTTCATTTTCAGGAACAAAACAGTCATTAAAAATTACAATTTTTAAAAAAACACAATTTTAAGTTTAGTTACACTGATTTAATTAAACCCAAAAGTTTGGGGTCAGTAAGATTTTTAGGGGCCAAGCACTATCGTGTTTGGTAATCCTTTATTTTTATTATTCCTCCCCAATGGGAGTCTATGGCAGCCCTATGAACCATAAGTATGACAATTATGAAATTTGGCACACTTGTAGTGATGGTCATGAATAAGAACTTGACCAACCTTGGGGTCTCTGGGACCAACTCTATAGCACCACAAGCAGTTCAAAAATCACTTCTAAAATGGTTATAACTTTTGAAACCTTTAATCTAGAAAAATGAAACTTAGTACACCTGATTACACCTCACGCTGATCACATTCAGTAGCGTACATTAAGACTTACGATTCGATTCACGATTTTGATTTCACAATTCGATTTTCTCACTTCTTTTTAACAAAATGAGATTGAAGACACTATACAGTAAATTAAAAGGTGTCATTTTATTAGGCTATTGCTGCACATTTCTTTGTGAAGTTGAAATATAACAAACCCCAAATCAAACAAGTTACACAAATAAAGAAATCTCTTAATATGAACAAACTAAGGCTTTGTCTGTGCTCTATCCAATTAAAATTAGAGGCAACCACTGGATTTTAATCATGATCCAAACAAAGATGCAGCATACTTGCAGCATGAGTAGTTTTTAATCTAAATTAGACTATAATTTTGAAATTTGAAGCAAAAACATAATGGTCTGACTTTAGTTTTGTGAAACTATACAACATAAAACTGAACGAAACAGCAGACGAGCTGAATGAGAAGCAGATTCACTCTGTGACAGCAGGTGGCACTTATGAACAGCAATAATACAGTGTTTCCTGGGTTACCGCTGTAAACAAAGCAGAGATGCGCTCATGAACACTACTTTAATATGCATTGTTCAGAGGCAAGATGAAAAGAAAATTCCATGTAAACTTTTCTAAAGATAGTCAGTTCTACCAGAAAGACTCGGGAGGTGATAGGATTGAAAATAATTTATTTTACAAAACCAAGACATAAACTTAATTATTTGGGGTAGGCCCCATCCGTAGCTTGAATCTGTAGGTTGAAGATTCAGCTATTACTGCCGAGAAGGTGTCAGGGGCGGAGCCTACCCCCCACATGGACAGGGCCAACATGGTGGTGGTGGGGAGGATGGAGAGGAACGTCAATGTCAGTTTCTGCAAACACAAGGAAGGGTGAGTAAAGAGCTTATATACTTCTCGTGTCGAGTGACGATTGGCTAGATCTAATTGTAATGCGTGACGTAGCATTAAGTCTTCCTAGTAGAACTTGCGCTAAAGCTTCCATTTCTATGCGAGTTATGTTCAGAACGACTTGAAAGTCTGGTAGTGTGTGATCCTCAGTTCTTTAGTGTATGATGCCATGTTGTATTTATTTATTTTTGTAGCCATTTGCTGCAATCCTTGCTGCAATCCATTTGCTGCAATCCTATGATGCACATGATAATTAAGAAGAGCCTATAAGCTAAGTCAGCAAGGGTTTGATGCCTAGTGTTCTAGAATATGTTCAGATTTTAAAAGTCGTGTAGTGCATTCTAGCCTTTTTAGTCTTAATCATATTTTGATTCCTTGATATGGCCATCCAGAAAGACTCGGGAGGTGATAGGATTGAAAATAATTTATTTTACAAAACCAAGACATAAACTTAATTATTTGGGGTAGGCCCCATCCGTAGCTTGAATCTGTAGGTTGAAGATTCAGCTATTACTGCCGAGAAGGTGTCAGGGGCGGAGCCTACCCCCCACATGGACAGGGCCAACATGGTGGTGGTGGGGAGGATGGAGAGGAACGTCAATGTCAGTTTCTGCAAACACAAGGAAGGGGGAGTAAAGAGCTTATAAGTTTCTCGTGTCGAGTGACAATTGGCTAGATCTAATTGGAATGCATGACGTAGCATTAAGTTTTCCTAGTAGAACTTGCGCTAAAGCTTCCATTTCTATCAGAAAGACTCGGGATGTGATAAGATTCTAAATTTATTTTAAAAAACCAAGACATAAAAAAAACTGAATTCTTTGTCATAGGCCCCATCCGTAGCTTGAATCTGTAAGTTGAAGATTCAGCTATTACAGCCGAGACGAAGGCAGGGGCTGAGCCTACCCCCAAAAGATGTGAAGGAAATTATATACCCACCAGTTGAGTGTTTCTTAGAGGATCCTAGAATATAAAAACAAAAGAAAAGAATATTGAATTTAGTCATAGTTAAGGCAAGTTCAATAAGCATACATTTGTACCAGATTAACTTAAGTATAGGTGCTTTATAGAGTAGAGGAGAGGGACCACGATAAGCCACAGAAGAGAGAAGCCACTAAAGGCCACACAGAGACAAGGCCTCAATAGGCCACACAAAGACTAGACCTCAATAGGCAACACAGAGACAAGGCCACAATGGCCGCAGACACGATGGCCTCGATAGGCCACAAAGACGAGGCCTCGATAGGCCACAAAGACGAGGCCTCGATAAGCCACAAAGACGAGGCCTCGATAAGCCACACAGAGACAAGGCAACAATGGCCACAGATACAGTGGCCTCGATAGGCCATGCAAAGACGAGGCCACGCAGAGGCAAGGCCTCGATAGGCCACGCAGAGGCAAGGCCTCGATAGGCCACGCAGAGGCAAGGCCTCGATAGGCCACGAAAAACAAGGCCATGATGGCCGCAGACAAAATGGCCTCGATAGGCCAAACAGAGACAAGGCCTCAATAGGCCACGAAGACAATAATCCATGTAATGTGAAGGCCACAAGTCCAAGTAAGACCGAAGCCAATAGGTATGAGGAAACATAATGAACCATCACCAGTAGATGCAAAAATAAACAAGCCTTAATTATAGCTTAAAGGTGCCTGCTGAGCATTGAGCCAAATCTTACCTAGACTCGAATGGGAGGATGACCATGTATACGTCAGCTTCATAGAGACTGCATTCATAATAGTGCCAGTCCAAAAGAATGACCTGTGTAAAGATGAGGTGAGAGCCACGGATCACTGCATCTGCAGGCATGGAAATCTAAATGACTGCATTGTGATGAAATGGCCAAGGTTAGTAAAGTGATCAAATGTGGTAGCTAAGTTTAAACGGAAAGCATAAATATGCATAACAAGCATAAATATCAGACCTGTAACAAACAGAACTATTCTCTGGCTTAAATCCAACGAAAGCTTAATAGACTCTTCTGACAAGACCCCATTTAACCAACCCGATAAGTGAACCCTCAGAAAAACCAAATCGCATGAAATACAAGTTAAAGAGATACTAGGGATTTATGGAACTAGAACAAAGATAGAAAAATAAATCTTGTGGTACATTACCCTTGCAGAAGGAAAATAATGCTTTATATTTGAAAACGATGCCTTACTATCTAATTGAACTTTAGATAGCTATTGAATCCTGTAAAATGATAAGGAAAGCCCTTATACACAATTTTTTTTTTAAAGAAATGTAGTAATTATATGTCCAAGTCCCAGCATTGACAAAGTTGAGCAGGAAATCCAGAGAGGAAGTCATTTCTATTGATGGAAAGAACGTAAAACACAGACCATAGACAGGCCTTCACAAGTACAAGTTCCAAGAGAATATAGACTACTTTAACGCTCACCACATAGAAAAAGAGACGTGCCAGCTAGTTAATTAACAGAGCAGACTAATGCCACAGAGCTAAGCTAAAGCTAATTATGTTAAATATAGATATGTCCTGAGAAAAGTATAAGAATAATGAGATTAGACAAAACTATAATGAAATTCTTAGTTAGAGTCAATATATTGTGCATCGGGAAAACTTGAATGTTTTGAGCATAGCAAGAAAACGTGTCCGTTTATATTCTTGCTCTTATTTAGAGGACGCTCATGCAGAAATGGACAGAGAGGACCTCTTTGCAGAAATGGGCTACGCAACAGGAGAGACACAAAGTCATAAAACTTACCCCATTCCGGTACAAGGCATCTAGTGATTGTTGTAGATGCAAATTAAACAATAACTGAAGGAACAAAGACAAAAGCATACGATTAAGACAACAAATACCTTATGGTGTGCTAGACATAGGGTGTTTTACAGAAAGGTATAATGTGAGCAACAAAGTCTTTATCAGCATAAAGATTGTAAGGCCTATAATAATGAGCCTCAAGATGCCTCATAACAAAAGAGTTGTTCCAAACATTGAATGTATTGAATTAGTCTTAGCAAACATCTCGTTAAATATTATAACTTTGGTTGGAAACGGGTTTGTAATGCTCCTCATAGAAGTAAAAGTATTGGAAATATTTTATGGTCTTTCTTGTTTCTATTAAATGTAGGTTAAATGTATCACTGAGCTTGCAAAAATTAATCGTTCAGCATTATGTTAACTATGAATCGTGCACTATGGACTCAGTACGGTAATCTATTTAACTTTTTTCTCCCAAAAACGCACTAGCAACCTAGGCTCAAATTAGGTTAATTATGCAGTGCTTGTCTGCTAGATGAACCTCATACAAGAACAATCACGCAACACCAAGCGCTTTGTCTTAAACACCTGTGTGTGTGAGAAACCTTACAGAGAATAAAATCTACGCCCAAGCGCCACAAGTGCATAAAACTAATAGAGTAGGCTGATGAAGTGATGAAGGCGGAATGACGAAGGAAACCAGCAGCCGTGTTTCCGACAGCAGGCCCGGAGAGTCTTTGTTCATGCTGGATCATGCGAGCGTACAGGCGAAATATATTGTTGATTGAGACGTGACAGCTCGGAAAGCACTCGGAATGATGCGGACGTAAACTAAAAAGCTCCGCCAATGTTTCACATCCTCTGCCGTAAAACAACCGCAAACATTCACAACGACACCAGAGCATTATTGCACAATGCCAACGATCTAGTGTGCATCTTGAGAGAAATGTCAAACTCGCAATCGTTCAAGACAAACTTAACTATATGCAAGTAAGCCAGGGAAAGTCGGGCAATAAGTCAAGCGACAGCTTGAGCAGGGGATGTCAATGTCAGTTTCTGCAAACACAAGGAAGGGTGAGTAAAGACCTTATATATTTCTTGTGTCGAGTGACGATTGGCTAGATCTAATTGTAATGCGTGACGTAGCATTAAGTCTTCCTAGTAGACCTTGCGCTAAAAGCTTCCATTTCCCCTCAGAGATACATTCATAAAAACTCCTACTCCAATTGTATCACGATTTGTTTGGCATCTTAACCGATTTGAATCGTCACATATTTGAATAGATTTTCGACCGCAGCTAATCGTTACATCCCTATTAAGACTCTGCCCATTTTGAAAAGTACAGCATTGCATTTTTTAGATACTCCTCCTTCAAAATTTGTCCAATTCTTACGAAAATTGGCTCAGCAGATCTTTGGACCTAGCCGCACAGAACTGAGTGAACATTTTTTGTATTTATCTTTGTTCAAAAGTTATAATATCACGAATTTAATGTTGATCTGAAATTGGTTCAGAGGCTGTATCTGGGTCAAACTTTGATCAAACGAAACAAAAATTGGTACACTTCTGGGAAGCTGATGCTGGGAACAGCATCACCTACAGGTCATAAGATCTGTAAAATTGACATTTTTGCTAATAACCTTTGAACGGTTTGTCAGAATCATGATCTTGGTGTCAATGGATTCCTTGTATCATGCCGAATCCGTGTACACCAATTTTGCCAGGATTGGATGAACCATATAGCCGCCATTTTGAAATTTGTCATAAATTGCAATATCTTTTGATATATTTGACAGATTAGTACAAAAATTGGTAGGTTACCTGAGAAATTTCAACGCAGTGCCACCTAGTGTTCCAGAGATCTACGGATTTTTGCAAAAACGCTTATAACATTTGAAAACATTGTTTAAATTTAACTTTCTCTGTGTCAAAACAATCCTTTGGCTTAAGTCGATTCTGATGATGTCTCATTTTTTATTTTCCTTCATTTAGTTTGTCCTCCATTTTGAAGTAAATTAATGGTTTTTTTTATGTTTTTTTCGCTACACCTCCTACAAATTTTGTCCAAAATGTGATCAGATGATCTTTGGACCAAGTCCTTCGGATGAGACATTAAACCGAGGTCCTGGCTCTGTGGTCATCCCAGGATGTCTTTCAAAAAGAGTAGAGGTGTGACCTCGGCATCCTGGCCAAATTTGCCCATCATGCCCTCCTAATCATCCACATATACTGATTGGCTTCATCACTCTGTCTCCTCTCCACCAATAAGCTGGTGTGTGGTGGGCGTTCTGGTGCACTATGGCTGCTGTTGCATCATCCAGGTGACTGAATTGGATTTTTGATATTCGGTACTGTTCCCGAGAAATACTCAGAAGTACCACTATCAGGACCTGTCAGGACCACTATCGTCAAAATGATTGACACTTAGCATAAAGTTTGGATTTGGCAGAATGGTTCTGTTCTGGGCAAAACAAAACTCCCTGCCCATCCATGCAGCCTGTCATGAATGAGTAGGGAGAGCAGCAATATGCAAACTGCCCTTATCCAGATAATGTTGTCAGCATTTGAATAACAACATTTAGTAGTGACATTTACACATTGTGCATTAAGTAACAAGCATGATACAGATACACTATAGCATTAAGCAACAGCATGTCGCTGACTTAAACACAGCGTGTTGGCAATAATAGTCGGATAAGTTTAAAGATGAGCAATATTTGCCAATATAGCATATTTGCCAATATAGCATTAGCAATGAGAAAAAAAGAAGAAACTTAGCTTAGCTTCGTGAAGACATTCAGAGATAAATAAAGGGTGAACTAGCCAGTTGTGACGTGGATGGTTGATCCCCTTCTTGATGTCTTACTTCTTCCAGCGGGGAAGGCAGATCTTGTGCAAAGTGTTGTTGATTCGGGTTCAAGTACTTGAATCTAATGAAAAAATGTGTGGGAAAATTCCTGATTGTACGCTTCCTATAGAGATGGAATTCACTGTCTAATTTGCTCCTGACAAAGCAATAAAGCTGTTGAATAATACTGAATAGACCTTATATAGGAATGCCGTGATAGGCGTTGTATTCCTATAGGTAGATGTGAATCAGCTGAGAGTCAGCTGATGCAAGCTTGACGTGACCTGCCAGAACTAACGCTATACGCTTCATTTGACAGCGCCTGTGTTTGTTGACTTATGCTTGTTAGCTTAACATGCTAATTGGTTAATATACTAACAGTTTGCCATTCTTTGTAACGTGACACTTCAGCTATCGGGTTAAGCATAATATATGTTAGCATTATGTTAGCTTAGCATGTTAATCTGGTCAACATGCCAAGTAATGCTTTTGTGTGATCATTCTCACACTAAAAGCTCTCCTTGGCAGCAGGTTGAATGCGCGTCAACGGAGTGGCACACTCTGCTAAGGCACTGGCCCCGAATTGGGTTCGAATCCAGTGTGTCACATAACAAGCAGTGTGTTTATATACAAAATCTTAAGAGTATTTTGTGCTTTTGAGATGCACATTATAGTAGGGTGACCATATGTGCCATTTTCCCAGGACACGTCCTGGCGAGGATTTCTATATTGCCTAAAATATCTAGGTTTTGGCTTTGTTTGCGTGTGCAGACCGATCGGTGTATGACATGGCCACAGACAGCATGTTTCAACAATAGACAGTTATTCAGTCAAATGATGTCCAGAAGTCAGCTTTCTGACATTTGATTCACTTAATATACAGCTCTTCCTAAAGGATTCCTCATCAAAACACACTTGGGCCTCTTGATGACAGATTGCAGCGTCACCGTTGACTTGAAGAGAACGTCAGACTTGTGGTCCTGGTTCTTCTTAGCGACCACTCCACAGAACAAATCAGAGATCAGAGAAGAAGGAAATGAGTTTAAAAGGCAGATTCAAAAAGAGGATGGCTTCAGAAATAGCCATGGGAGTCTAATGGAAAAATCTACAGAAGTGGTCTACCAGAAACCATCTAGATGTACAATTAGTGCTTCAACAAAGGTGAGGGTTGAGAAATT